CCTAACATGGGGCTCCAAGTCCAGTCATTCTTACACCCACTTTTGAGTTAGCCAGGGGGAGAGTTAAGTACCAGCTATCTCCAAAGGAGGGTTCCAGAAGGTATCATTTGATATTTCCCTTTATACTTACTTGGTCAGAATTTAGTTCCATGGCTATGTCTAGGAGGCTGGGAAATGTTGACTTTATTTTGTTTGGCCATGTGACCGGCCCAAAGTCCCAGGACTAGGGAAGAAGAGGGTATGGAATGACCCAGTCTCTGCCACAGGGCCCTTGCCTCCTCCATCTCTGGGTTGTGTCCCTGCCACCCAATAGCACATTGCCTGGCGCCTAGCAAGTGCTCAGTTTGTGGAAGGACAGACTCGTATAGACGGTCCTGGGTGCCTTCCCCGTCAGTGTGGGCATGTGGCAGTGTGAGTCCTCCCTCCCCCACTCCCTCATTCGCACATACTTGGTGCCACCTCCTGTGTGCTGGGTGTTACTCTAGGTGCCAGGCTAGAGAAGTGGGGAAAAAAGACAAAAGTCTGCACCCTCCTCAGCTTACATCCCAGGAGCTTCTATGCTGATATGAAGCTCTGTGTTAAGTCTAACTCCCTCTGGAGGGATACCCATATTAGTCATCTCTGCCTTACAGGTGGGGAAACCGAGGCCTGGAAAGGTCAAGTGACTTGTCAAGGTCATACAGGACAGAAGAGACAGAGTTGGGATTCAAACCCGGATGGCCTGGTTCCAGGGCCTTCCTCTTAGCCTCTGCTGGTTAGTGTCTCTCCACGCTGTTGACACGGGACTCTCACAGCACGTCCTGTGCCGTGTCCTGCTTTTGGCCCTTCACTGTGCCACAGATATTTTTCCCATAATTTTTGTCATCACCATTTGTGGTGGCCACATGGGGGAGTGTAGAGCAGAGCAGCTGTGGCCCCACATGTGGGGAAGAGGAGGAGGTGGCCGTCCCTGTGTGGGACCAAGGGGCATCTGGGTATCTGACTGGGAGGGGCTACAACCAATAGGCCTAGGGCCCTGCTGGCTTGGGTGACCTTTGCTTTCTATCCCTCTTTGACCTTCCACCTGGGGGTCTGTCTTCTCAGCCCCTCGCACTTGACCACACTCCTCAGGGAGGCTGCTGAGCCTTGAGCCTCCCCCACCTCCCTAGGCTTGTCCTGTGACCAACTTCCAGGCCCCAGAAGCATCTTCCCCCTCAGCCTGAGGGCCCCTCCACCCCCACTCTGTAAGGCACAGCTGTCTTTCTAACCCCTTTCCTCACCTGGGTGGGATTGGTGAGGAGGAGAAAGTAAGAGCTCCGGAGGGAGGCAGGTGGTACAAAGATAAGATGCTGGGGCTCAGATCTCTCCCACCCCTGCCTCCCTCGGTTTTTCCCCAGTCGCTCAGTCTCTACTGCGCTTCAGGGAGGGGGACCAAAGAGGATGAACCCATCCTGAATACCTATTCCGCCTTGAGAATGTTACATTTTATAGGGGCGGACGTCCAGGCTCAAGGAGGCCTCGTCCTGGCCCTGTGGCCCTGCTAGTTGGTGGCAGAGTGCAGGCTGAAACTGACTCTTGCCTGATGTGCAGGGAGGGAGGGGGCAGAAAGTGGCTGCCCATTTTGCACTTGAGCATATCAAGACCCAGAAACTTAATGAGGCTGTGCCTGGGCCCCGGGTTACAAAGTGAGTTAGGTATGTAATTTGGGTGTTGGGGACTCCCAGTTCAGGACCAGCCCATCTGACTCCTTGAGCCCCACAGGTTTAGTTTCTAAGACCCCAGAGATCTCAAGGCACCTGGTTAAGCCTGTGGTAGGCCCTCTAATCAGCAAGTATTTGTGACCAGGCTGAGTCCTGGCAAGAACTGGTGAGATGCTATGGGGGATGCAAAAGAAATGAAGATGTGATTTTTGTTTGGAGGGATGGTTCCAGAGTGGGGGGACACAGTTCCAACTGGGTTGGGGAGATGAGCACTTGGAAATAGGAAACACACATAACACTCAAATATTTCAATATGTGGTAATGCCCTGAGTGCCTTGGGAACCAGTGTGGACTGAAGCAGTTAAGAAAGCTTGATGGGAGGGGAGGATTTGAATTGGACCTTAAGAAGCAGTAGGAATCAAACTCATACACAAGAAGAGATGGCAGGAGGGTAAGGGTACCAGCTTGAGTAAAGGCGCAGAGTCTGTACTGAGGCAGCACATGCCAGCTTGTTGGAGAGGAGTGGGCAATGATGCTGGAGAGGGGCCAGACAGTGGAGGGGTTTCAAAGAGCAGTAGAGGTATTTGGACTTAAATCTACAATGTAGGGAAGACAGCTCTTCAGCATGGGCACCTCCAATCTATCCACTCATCGTGGCAGACATTATTAATCAATCATTACCCCTCCCTGCTGAGCCACTTGGGGCCTGAGTCCTTTCAGCCCAAAGCTCTAGGCAGCCCCTGCCTATGGTTTGCAATTCAGAGGAAACTTAAATTGCTGTGGGTAATTGGGAGCCACTGCAGGTTCTTGAGCAGGAGAATGAATGTCAGATGGGTTTTGTACTCCTGGAGCCTGTGTGGACTGCTTGCTATGATCCCAATCAGTTTTGGGTCACAATTATGGTGCAGTCAGATCATCTGAGGACCACAGAGCAGTGAGGTCTCTGCCTTCACACCTACAAACCCAGCTAGGCAAGAGCCCCCTGGGGAGAGCGCCCAGCTTTTCTCATCATGGAAACTGAGCAGAGAGAAAGAAGCAGTCACACCACTCAGGTGAAATTGAATTTTGAACGAGGTCCTGGTCGGCTGCCCACCCTGCCGAGGGAGAGGGGAGGCCAGGTCAGGGCTGGGTGGATGCCACCACCTATCCCAATTCTAATTTAGTGAGTTTAAATGCACCTTAAAATGCATAGCGGTCTGAACAAAACTCATCTGTCATGGTTTTCAGGGTGAGAGGGATCCATCCATCCACCACAGATATATAGGTGTGTATGTGTGTATATATATATATATTTTCTTTCCCCCAAGTAAGTATTGATTCTCAGTGACTATAAACAGGCCATAAGAATGCTCTCAGGCACCCCACCTTCTGATTTCAACCATGCAGATGACAGTCCTCCTGTGGTTCTGGTTTATTTGTCATTGTTGGGGTGTGGGCGTGTGTGTATGTGTTGGTGAGAGGCACAGGGACTAGAAACATCGGGATAAAAAGACAATCATTCCCCCTGCCTGGGGCTGCAGTGGACACTGAGTGCCGGTGTTTGTCATGGGTCTTGGAGGCTGGCGGATGGGAGGGGACCTCTGATATGCCTGGAGTGGGGAGCTGCATGTCCCCTGCTTTGCAGGCCTGTGAGCCCTTACTCCACCTCCAGGCTGCAACTTTATTCCTGGCTGGGGAGGCTTGTTGATAACCTAGCTCCCTGGGGAGCACCAGGTCCGTGAGCGGCTGAGAGATATGTTTATTTCCTTTTAATGTTGTTCAGGGTTCAATTTACCCAGTGGCATGCTAGTAAATAAATAAGAAAACCAAACCTTTGACAGGGGGAAATATGGAGTTTTTCCTCCCACATTCTTGAGTAATATCTCAAAACTTTTGTGACTCACGAGGGCCTGTTGTGTTTGGCTAAAGGAAAAAAAAAAGAAGGAAAAGAAAATCATCTAGTTCCTTATATATTTGTAAACAGCTTTACAGCAAGTGGAGAATATTCTATATAATGTGGCCCCATGCACCACCCGTGCTGATGCCAGGCTCTGTGTCTGAAGCCGGGAAGTGTAACCTGTATAATTGTATCTGTGTAAAGGGGGCCGTTTTCCACTGCCCAGAACCCATTACCCACCAAATCTCCTGACACTAATCTTCCAGGCCTCCAAGATCTGGGCATTGGGGGTGGGGAGTTATTGCACAAAAATCGCTCAGATGCTCCAGCTCAGAACACAGTGGCAGTTAAGGAAAAAAAAAAGCTAAGGCAAATGAGGAAGAAGCTGTTAAAGAAGAATGAGGCAGTAGAGGCGGAGAGGTGAAACCAGCAAGGTGAGAACGACAGCTCTGCTTTCTGTTATGTGTTTACCCGGAAGACTTTGAGATCTGTGTGCTAGGCGTTGGGCGAGGCACAAGACGAGGAGGTAACAGTAGCAACAGTACAATCACGGTAGCAGTAATAATAAAGGGCATTTACTGAGCATTTACTAGGAGCTGGGTGCTGTGCTGAGCATATTATATCAGAGGTGAGTAGCTGAGCTCCTTGTTCTCAGGGAGTTTATTTACAATTGTGGAAGAGAGGGTAATGGGATCAGCTGCCCACTGAAAATCCAAGGAGGGTTCTGGTGTTGAAGGATAGTTTGGAAAACCCCAAATTGGGGAATTTTTATAAATTTTGAATTTGGGGCTTTGTTTGATGTTGGAAACCTCAGCTCAGTTTCTCTGAGGAACTAAGGACCAAGAATCCTGGTAATTTAGGTTTTCACAGAAGGGCTTGTCAAATTTAGCACAAAGGGGATGGGCAAAGGGGAGAGGAGGGGAGGAGCCTGGGGGCTATGGCAGGGAGAGAAGGGGGCTTTCCGGGCACAGAGAAAGGCAGGGGGCAGGAAAGGAGGAAGAGAGTGGGGAGATTTCCGACCACTAGGGTATGACATGAATAAGGTCTCAGACATGCAGATGGAGGCTGTTGGCTGGAATCCCCCGGCTAGGGCACAGTTTTGAGGAGGAAGGTGAGGGTTCTTGCCTGACTGAATGTGAACTGTGTTCAGTGGGAACTGAGGTTTTGTGCATCCTGAAAGGAGTCAATGAAGGTGACTGAGAGTGAAATTGCTCCTTTAGTTACAGGACAGAGTTTGAAGATGTACCTTCCAGGGAAAGAGAGGGGAAAGAGGGAGATGGTGAGTGGAATCCAAGGGGCAGTGGATGGAGGGAGGTGGCAGGGAAATGCTGTCCTCAGCGGCTCTCTGGTCTCAGGCCAGGGTGGAAGATGAAGGCTGTAGGGAGATGCTGGGAGCTGTCCAGGCCCCCAGTGCTGAAATGGATTCCTCTTTTTTGGTTCTGCAGAAGCTGAGAGCCTCCTACTTCGTGATTCTCAAAGCACAGACACTGGACCTGTTGCAGCAACACCACCTGGAAATGAGCTGGAAGTGAAATTCCCTAGCCCCACCCCAGATGTAATGAAGGAGAATTTGTTGGGGGAGGGTGTGAACAGCAGCGATCTGTTTTTAACCAGCCCTCTGAGGGATTCTGGTGCCATCAATTTGGATAACCACTGCTTTAACCAGTAGCTTTTCCTGTTGGAAATCCCAGGCCCCTACTCCTTCCCTTCAGTCAAACCCTGTACACAGCTCTACCATGGCACTCATTACCCTACCTTTAAAGCATCTCTGTGTTCATTTTCTCATCAGTGCTGAGCTACATAATGGGAGGGGAATGTCCTACTCAACTCTAAACCACCAGTGCCCGGTACTGGCACATAGTAGACACATAGTAAATCTTGCTAATGACTGGGTAGAAGGATGGAAGGATGAACTCTAAAAAGACAGCTAGAATTATTGGATAAATGAAAATGGATCATTTTCTTGCTAAAACCCTCCAAGGGCTCCCATTCATTTAGAAAGAAATCCATCTCCTTACCATGGCCTACACGGCCCTTTGGTCCAGATCCTGTGGTCTTATCACTCTGATTTATCCTGTTATCTTCCTCAGTCATGGCTCTCAGTCCTCCAAACTCCCCAAGTTTAGTCCTGTCTCAAGGTATTTGCACAGTTGTGTCCTCTAACTAGGGTGCCCATTGCCTAGATGGCCACACGGTGGCTTCCTCTAATTTGCCAAGGCTTGACTCACATGATGCCTTCTCAGAGAGACCTTTCTTAACCACCCATTTGAAGCATAACCTCGCTCTCCATTCCAGTACCTTCTTGGCTGTTGGTTGGCTGGGTTTCCTCCTCATGGCACCAGTACTGATACTAAGAGGGTATTGGGAGGGATCTTCCTACACTATTTCCATATATCCCTCTCAAAGTCCTTCCATATGAGAGAAAGTCATTACTCATAAAGACCATTAACAATACCTCAGTAAGAAAAACTTTCCTACATTTAAGAAAATTATTGTATGTCCTTAGCAATTCCATCCTGCTTCAGGATAAGTTTCCTTCAAATCACGTTCCTGCCTCTAACTCCCTTTGGATAAGGCTACTTGAACAGCCACGGACCAAGCCCCTTTAATCGCACCATGTGGGAATTACAGATTTAGGGCAAGATGGGCTCTATTATCTGGGGTGTTCCACTGAACAAGAAGAAAAATGGGCTACCCAAGGGGGACACAGAGATTATGGGTATAGAATTCAACACATTCAGAGAAATGAGGGAAGGGTGGTTCTTTGGGACTAGGGGTGCAGGTTGCATTAGGGACGGTCAGAGAAGGTTCCTACATAACCAGGCATTTGTGTTGCACTGAGAAGATTTTAAAGGGACAAATATGACTAAGATAATCATAATAATAGTTATTTTGTTTAGTGTTTGACTCAATGCCAAGCACTGTTCTAAAAACTTATATTCATTTAATCCTTATAAGAACCCTATGAGGTGAGTGCCACTTTTACCCCTTTTTACAGATGTGGAAACTGAGGTATGGGGTGAAAAGGGTGAAACAACCTCTCCAAGGTGCCCAGGTAGTAAGAGGTTGAGGCAGGAAATCTAGTTTGAGTCTTCACCATCACACTCCACTATCTCTCCAACAGTGATGTCAGCAGTTGTACAGTTTCCCAAGTGGTCCCCATAGCCAGTTCTGGGGCCCTTGATGCAGCCAGGCAGGCATTTCATCTCCATTTCTAGGATGGTGTGCAGAAGTTGCTGAGGTTAAGCGAACTACCCAAGGATCAGAAAAGGAGCAGAATGGGACTTACCTCCTTGTCACCAAGCCTAGCCACCTGCCTGCAAGACCTTCAGGGTGTCTGTCCTCTACCACAGCCAGCAAGCCCTGTCCAGGCAGGCAAAGAACATTTGGGAAATGACATTGGAAGGCGGCAGGTAGGCAGTGTTCCTGCTGCTTTCCCCAGCCCACCCTCTCCCAGCCATAAGATATATATAGCTCCAATGGAGAAATGAATCGCGTGTTTGTCTGCAGCCCCTTCTTCAGATCCATCACGGAGCAGTGCTTGGTGCAGATTTTGCAAACAGCTTGAGATTACTGAATTAATTAGAATAAAATTAATCAAAACACCCACCACAAAGGAACCTGAGCATGTAGAGTTGTGACTTGGGTGAGGGAGGAAGCTCAGCAGAGAGATGGCACTATAGGCTAGACTGGCTGTGGGCCCAGAGCCTGCTGGGGCGAGCCAAAAGCCACCTAGGTGGGGCTCTAATGCCGGCTGGCATTCCTGTATGCTCTCCATCCTCGTTTCTGCACACTGGGCCTCAAAAAGGAGAGGACTCGGCCCCTTCTGTCCAGGCTGTACATTTTGTAGAGACTGAAGCTTGGGTCCTGTAAGAATGCTCAAGGAGGTGATGCATCGGAGGGAGGTGAGCAGGCATGGATAGCAACAGATTAGAGGCCAGAAGACCTGGGGTCTCTGAGCATCATTATCCCGGTTTCCCAGGATGGATGGTTTTGACTTCAGTTGCCAGTTTCATCCCTTGTAGGCTGTATCAAGTAGACAATAGGTTAAGAGTATGGACCCTGCACCAGAGTGTCTGGGTTCAAAGTGCAGCTCTTCCACGTATTAGCTGTGTGACCTCAAGCATTTACTGGCTGTATAATCTCTCTGAGCCTTAGTGTTTTCATCTGCAAATGGGGATAATTATAGTATCTCCCTTAAAAATAATAAAAAAGAACCTCACCCCCACCCCCAGATAGTACCTCCCTTATGGGGGCTGGTAAATAGTATGTGCTATGTAAGTGTAAGCTGTTCATTCTTATATTTAACTAGTCAAGAGGCTCTGTCCATCTTCCCTCAGCTTGTCTTCACATTTCCTTTTTCTTCCTGCTGCCACTATCTCAGTCAGGCCTTCATCACTCCATCCATTCATTGATTCGTTTATACCATAAGAATTTATGGAGCTCCCACTATGTACTTGACATGGGATCAGAGAAGACAAGGGTTCATCTGTAAAATGAATGATAATGGGAATGCAAAGATAAGACTCAGTCACTGCTTTCAGGGGTTCGCCAACTCACAAAGGGGTGTAGTTGCACCTGATCAGACTCCCAGGAGTCAGGGAACACATCACAGAGAGCTTTGAGCTATAGTTCTCCAGGTATCCAAGCCTGGAAAGGCATTCCAGGCAGAGGGGACAGCATGGCCACCAGAGTTAGTATACTAAGACACAAATTTGATCAAGTCATGTCTTGGTTCAAGAACCTATGAGCAGCGATAGCTCACTGCAGCCCATGTCCTAGTTATAGTAAATCTTGCTAATGACTGGGTAGAAGGATGGAAGGATGAACTCTAAAAAGACAGCTAGAATTATTGGATAAATGAAAATGGATCATTTTCTTGCTAAAACCCTCCAAGGGCTCCCATTCATTTAGAAAGAAATCCATCTCCTTACCATGGCCTACACGGCCCTTTGGTCCAGATCCTGTGGTCTTATCACTCTGATTTATCCTGTTATCTTCCTCAGTCATGGCTCTCAGTCCTCCAAACTCCCCAAGTTTAGTCCTGTCTCAAGGTATTTGCACAGTTGTGTCCTCTAACTAGGGTGCCCATTGCCTAGATGGCCACACGGTGGCTTCCTCTAATTTGCCAAGGCTTGACTCACATGATGCCTTCTCAGAGAGACCTTTCTTAACCACCCATTTGAAGCATAACCTCGCTCTCCATTCCAGTACCTTCTTGGCTGTTGGTTGGCTGGGTTTCCTCCTCATGGCACCAGTACTGATACTAAGAGGGTATTGGGAGGGATCTTCCTACACTATTTCCATATATCCCTCTCAAAGTCCTTCCATATGAGAGAAAGTCATTACTCATAAAGACCATTAACAATACCTCAGTAAGAAAAACTTTCCTACATTTAAGAAAATTATTGTATGTCCTTAGCAATTCCATCCTGCTTCAGGATAAGTTTCCTTCAAATCACGTTCCTGCCTCTAACTCCCTTTGGATAAGGCTACTTGAACAGCCACGGACCAAGCCCCTTTAATCGCACCATGTGGGAATTACAGATTTAGGGCAAGATGGGCTCTATTATCTGGGGTGTTCCACTGAACAAGAAGAAAAATGGGCTACCCAAGGGGGACACAGAGATTATGGGTATAGAATTCAACACATTCAGAGAAATGAGGGAAGGGTGGTTCTTTGGGACTAGGGGTGCAGGTTGCATTAGGGACGGTCAGAGAAGGTTCCTACATAACCAGGCATTTGTGTTGCACTGAGAAGATTTTAAAGGGACAAATATGACTAAGATAATCATAATAATAGTTATTTTGTTTAGTGTTTGACTCAATGCCAAGCACTGTTCTAAAAACTTATATTCATTTAATCCTTATAAGAACCCTATGAGGTGAGTGCCACTTTTACCCCTTTTTACAGATGTGGAAACTGAGGTATGGGGTGAAAAGGGTGAAACAACCTCTCCAAGGTGCCCAGGTAGTAAGAGGTTGAGGCAGGAAATCTAGTTTGAGTCTTCACCATCACACTCCACTATCTCTCCAACAGTGATGTCAGCAGTTGTACAGTTTCCCAAGTGGTCCCCATAGCCAGTTCTGGGGCCCTTGATGCAGCCAGGCAGGCATTTCATCTCCATTTCTAGGATGGTGTGCAGAAGTTGCTGAGGTTAAGCGAACTACCCAAGGATCAGAAAAGGAGCAGAATGGGACTTACCTCCTTGTCACCAAGCCTAGCCACCTGCCTGCAAGACCTTCAGGGTGTCTGTCCTCTACCACAGCCAGCAAGCCCTGTCCAGGCAGGCAAAGAACATTTGGGAAATGACATTGGAAGGCGGCAGGTAGGCAGTGTTCCTGCTGCTTTCCCCAGCCCACCCTCTCCCAGCCATAAGATATATATAGCTCCAACGGAGAAATGAATCGCGTGTTTGTCTGCAGCCCCTTCTTCAGATCCATCACGGAGCAGTGCTTGGTGCAGATTTTGCAAACAGCTTGAGATTACTGAATTAATTAGAATAAAATTAATCAAAACACCCACCACAAAGGAACCTGAGCATGTAGAGTTGTGACTTGGGTGAGGGAGGAAGCTCAGCAGAGAGATGGCACTATAGGCTAGACTGGCTGTGGGCCCAGAGCCTGCTGGGGCGAGCCAAAAGCCACCTAGGTGGGGCTCTAATGCCGGCTGGCATTCCTGTATGCTCTCCATCCTCGTTTCTGCACACTGGGCCTCAAAAAGGAGAGGACTCGGCCCCTTCTGTCCAGGCTGTACATTTT